AGCGGGGGTCTGCCAATGCTACAGTTTGTCTTCTTTATTTTCAACTGTGATGGACAACACTTCTTTTTCCTACTTTCATTCTATAATTGGTTTCATAAGGTTCATGCAGCCCAATTAAAGTGTGTCTCGGCATTTAACAAAAGTCACTTTGGAGTTTGGGTAACAACTTTGGTGTTTTTGGAGCAAAACCAAAATGGACTAATGTGTTTGTAACATGATCAAAGCATGAAAGCCCATACCTAGCTATGAAGAAAAGCTGAATATGAGCTCTCGATTTGTCATTGGTTATATTTAGTTGTGAGATCAGCTATCACCATGTATAGCCTTATACCTGAATCACTGCTTTTCTGTTTTGGTTTTGGACTATATTCTCCCTCTTTATGAACCTCTCTGCAGTTCATTTTAAAGAGGAAAGAGATCTACATATTCAGGTATGCAATGTGGATACTTGGTGCAGCACAAGTCAGGGCCATTTTACCCCAAATGTCCTCCTTTTGTTGAGTTAGTTTGAGCGGGTGAGGCGAGGCCATTCAGACAAGCTTGTGACTAAAACCACTTTAAGAGTAAATGATGGCTCCCTGACAAGAATTAGCATTATGAGCTGTCAGATGTAGGCCAGGAGGGCTGTAACCAGACATACCTCTGCCAGGGCAGGCAACGATTTATTCTAGGAAAGTAGGGAGTCAGTTCAGTGACTTTTTCTTTCTTACATAAGGCTGGAAAGAAAGCTGTTATCAAAGAAATAAACATCCAGGTGGGATTGTGTCGTAGACGACTGAATGTGGATCTTCATCACTAGTTTTAAGATGTTTGTGACATAACAGAGGCAAACCAACATTTTGTTTGTGATAGGGAGCGAGCTCCACAAAAGCCTGAACAAAACGAACAAATGGACGCCTTAACTCCCCAGTCGAATGCACCATGCAGCATGAAATTAATAGACTCCCACAGCTGACATGACATGGTGATTTCTACTGTCAGGGAAACCAATGTCCACCATGCACAAATTGTCTGTTCTGTCTTTGTTTGCCATAGCAGGGGTTCATTGTGGCTTTGCAACACCCGATGTGTTGCCTTCCCTCGCATGCTGAAAGAGACATGACATAGGAGGGAATATGCTCGCCACTTGGTGCCTCAATACGTCAAACTGATCTGTGTGCAACAGACTGCAAGTAAACTACACTGCTGTCACATCCAAGAACTCTCTGTTGACTGATACGAATCACATATTCTCATATTTGCTTTGTGGTCTTGAAAACAAATATCACTTTCCATTAATGTCAATATATCCATATTCATACAACCCTGTTATTAGAGGAATCTGACAATGTAGTGTGCATGCACAAGTTCATCTCATCTACTGTATAAGGCGCAGATGAAAATGATGTTGTTTTTGCTCCTGCTGCCTCCTTTGCCATTATTCAATTATAGGAACACATTAAAAGGGGCATTATAGCTTTAATAGGCAGGTTTGTTATTCACTGTAATAACTGACATGTTGAGATGCTTTCTGCTCGATCCTGCTGGTACTCTGTATTTGGTAGGCAGTAATTGGAGAAGGGCTTCGAGGCTTCCTCCAGTGACCTCATTACCCCAATTAAAAGTGTAGCCTTCTCTGAAAACAGTCCGTCTCACAAAGTGATGTCTGGTTATCACTCGCAGTCCAAATGAGGTTGAAACACGCAGCTGAGGAAGCGGGGCATGGACATATGGCTGTGCCTTTTACAGACTCCTGCATTGGGTTCTTCATCTTTCGTTCATTTAGCCAAAAAGAATATTATTACTGTCAAAATAACCCTGATGCTGTAGTTGTGAGCCACAGACGTTCTATGAATACTGAAGGAGTGTCTGGTTGGTATGCTAATAGTTAACCATGCAAGAAACATTTAGATTACACATTTTCTAAACAAACATATAGAAATCTGAAACGATCTGCAGACTAAACCAAAGACACTGTATCTCTCTCTGCAATCTTAAACTGTGTGCAGTAACGCTCCCTGTTTACTACCCAGTGCATTTTTACTTTACACCAATTCATTGTTTCTCTGAGTGTCCAAACTCTTGGTGTATTCTCAGTTCATTTTTGAGGGGACTATGGTGTCTCTGTGTAGAGCCGAATGAAGAGCATAGATGTGCCTTTTAGTATTGTTTCTAATAATTGTTTGGTGCATGCTGTTTTTTTTTATAGCAGGGTTACACCAATAATACTTTAGTCCTGTATAGTCACGTGTAACCGGAGATAACCTCAAAAGCCCAGCCTGTGTTCATATGAGTCATTAAACAAGATGTGTTACGAACACTTCTCCTCATCTCATCATCTTTCCATCACTCCAGGGAGAACACCATCTCTCACACACACACACACACACACACACATACACACACACATGCACCATAACCAATTTAAGCAAGTACTTGCAGAAATGTTCCCTTTTAAGATATTCTGCTTCAAATCTGACTGAGATTCTCTGCTCTTTTTTTGTTGTTATTGCAGATGTTGTTGTCGTGTTTTCTCCAAAGATTTTACTCAACGTAAAAGTTGGTTAGATGCTGATTTTACAACTACTTTTTGAAGAATTTTATTTCCAAAAACGCTGCATCTCCACACTTGCAAGACAAACTTAACTTCAAATAAACGGCTCAAATAAATCGTTCAAAGTTCTGCAACAGTTTGTGATTCACAATCTGGGTTTCACCTTCACATAGTTAATCAATTTGTCAGAAGACATGACATGTTTTCCACACAGTATATCAGTAGATGTGTCACTTTTAATTGGAACAGTCTAACGCTTCATACCGTTGTTGTCAAGTGGAAATATATTCCGAAATTGTCCGCTTTTGAGAGGGTTAGAAAACAGCCTCGGCGATGATGTGTTTTTGAGTTTATAAATTGGGTTTTGAGAGTGATTCATAAAACCATTAACCCATAGTGGAAAATAACTGAACTTATCCAGATGTACAACACAGGAGTAACAGGATTTGTACATCACAGCACAGATATGATAACTTTGTCGTGATTTTTGGATGTTACATCAAATCAGTGGACTTGTTTGAACACCGCGTCGCTGCTCTTCCAGGCTGTCACACAAGTCCTCAAACCAGCAGATGACATTCCGCGAACAATCGACCCTCACTACAGTCGTACACTGACCGGTTGATTGAGTTGAGGCCGTTTGCGGACGACAGGCTCAGAAGGGCCGAATCAATGCCGTGTTTGTCCACTTCTCTGCTCATTAAGGAACCTCTATTCACATCAGGGTCTGTGTATGACAAAGAAAGCTCACAAGTGCACATTTTCAGTCCAAGGAGGGTGGGTTTTTTCTCCTTCTCAAAGCCCTCCCCTCATCGAAATTCGCCTCACAGGAACACTGTGCCAGAGGCCAAAGTCTTGACAGGGCTAACCCAGTGAGAGGGAAGTCAAACAAGTTTTTTTTTTTTTTTTAACGGCCTGGCTCGCCGACAGGGAGGCCTGCTTACCTTCTAGTCCTTAATCTGTATCACACCTTTTCAGTTGAGGAAGAAAGGCGGCCTCACTGTCCATTCATCAACTTTTAGTGATTCAGGGTTTTGTCTCCTCCCTGTTGGGTTGGACTCCTTGGCGACTCATAAATACTGGCAATACCTGAACTGTGCAGATTGAAATCCTTTCAGGCTCTTCAGTGGACCCGTCACATTTATCTTAGTGTAGTTAATATTGAGCAGGAAAAGGACGGTGATAAATGTTGATACAATGGAATGAATACTGCTGCCAGGTGTGATGTACTGCACAGTTATGTAAACTAAGGACCACTGTAAAGTCTATTTTGAATACAAAACAAGTTTTTCATTAGAAACATTTGCCAGTGCAATTGGAGAGTTTTCTGTTTCATCACAATGTAATGAAATCATGATTGCCTTCATGAGGCACACATCTAATTTAGTTCTAATTGCTAATGGACCATAGCATTTGGAACATTGTCTGTTGAAAATGAAGGTTTGGTTTGTGCAAGGTCAAGCAGCCCTTTCACATAATTAAATGGGATTTGGATGGGCTGCTTTATTTTAGTACTGTTCATATTATCTAAAGTACTAGTTCCTCTAAATTGCCAGAAAACACATCTTTAAAATGAATGGTGTTTACAAAATTACAATACAGCATGTATTCTCCGCTTAGTCCTTAAATCAACCAAAAGTAAAGCAATCGTATTTCCAAATATTTGTATTAATAATGTGCTTTGGATATAAGAAGCTGTGATTATGTAAGGAGGCTGTAGGAATTTCTAAAACCATTTTTTGACTTCTCATGATCTCCAGAAAAGACAACAAACTAACCCATGTCCTCCTCCATTGAAATGTGATTATATTGCCACATATCTCACTCATTTTGTGCAACTATTAAATATTTTGACATAAGTGAATTTCTAAGCTAAAGCGTATTTGTTTATACAGTTGGACTTTTCTGTTACTTCCATTGGGCGGCAGTGCGTGTACCCTCAAACCTGTGCTGCACCGCAATGCCTATGCGTCTGTGCGCTCTATTCTGCACTCCATCTTCCGGATCACAAAGTCAAATTCATTCCGACATTGTGACTCTTTGGTTCTCGAAACTGGCGCATGAGGAGGAGTATTTTCCTCTTGCGTGTTTGGGTTCGGTCAGTGCGCCATTTATAGAGGACGAAGACTCCAGAGGAACGCAGGTCTGACTGGAGCGTTCACTGGTCAAGTCGCACAGATTTAGGAAACCTCACCTCTGCTGTGTTCTTCAAAATAAGAGCTGCACAGGAACATAAAAAAGCATAAGTATTGAGAGCAGCCCCGAAGACCAAAGAGGAAACAAACAGGCCGATAAAACGGTAACTGCGAGGTATCAACAGATTGGGTGGAAATACAGATGCACTGCAGTTGTTCAAATAACCTGTCTGCAAATACAAACCCATTATGATTTGATGACATAATGGTGTGCTTTTATTTTGAGGGCAAATCCCCTCGTGTCCTGTTCTGTCTCAGTCAACTTCTGCTGACTTGATGCATCTCGCGTTGACACAGCGGCACTTTGAGAGCGAGCGAGGGGGAGACGGCATCCGATGTGTCTTTTTCTGCACATCACTTTGGAAATTTGCGCTTGTTTAGTCCTGCTTGAAGCGGTGCTCACCTGCAGGACTGTGTGGCTGCGAGCGGCCGAGCAGCTGCTTTAACAGGAGAATCAGACTGATTGCCTCCTCTGATTTAGCTCTTCATTGATTTTGTCGACATCCCCCTGATCACTGTCATGGTTTTCTTCATTTTCTTCTCTCCTGCTGTTTCAAAGTGACCGGCTGCAGGTGTCTCTGTGCTCCGATTTGCGCCAGTCAACGCTGGCAATATGTAATTTTGGGATAGACGCTGCGTTTTTTTTTGGAGAAGTGGACTATTTCACAGCTGGGATCCCTTGTGTTTTTCTTTACTCTGTAGACCAGAACAGATTGTGATACACCGTGATGGTGTGGGGCTATCGGAACTGACAGCAGAGTACAAGCTATCCTTTGGAAACTGCTTGTGGGTGAGTTCAATGTATGTTTCGATCTCTGCGTCTCCAAAGTTGGTCGGATGCTCGTGCTGCCTTCTGTGGATATGTTTAAACCAGTTTGTGGGCAGCGGCGATTCATTTGGGTGACGCTGACTTTTCAGATCTAAATAGATTTGCATCACGGATGCACGATCTCCTAATATGCGGCACTTCCATGCGCATTTGGAGTGAATATGTTTTCCCCTAATTGCGCATGAATCTCAGCTGCTCTTTTTGTTTTAGTTGCGGACGGAGCCTCCTTGATGGAAGTGCTCACAGCTGCAGTACGACAGTGAAGTGGACTGCTTAAGTCTTCTGTATTCTTTCGTAAAACCCAATCATCCAAAAGAAAGCGGTCACAGTGTGTCAGTGTACACGAGCTGGTCATTTTACGCACTATTTTTTTTTTTTTTTCGACATTCATAGTGTAACACTGTGCGTATTTTCATGTCGCTCCGGTGCGTCAGCAATGTATGTGTGCATGCGTGCCTGTGGGAAGATCGTGATTGCGTGCGCGTGTCAGTGGATGTATGCGAATTTGTGCACGTGTGCGCGTGTGTTTCAGAGGAGGCAGGTGAGAAAAACCGGTCTTACTTATTTCGAATGATTTCTGCTGAGCGATTGCTGGAAGTGTCAGCTCCTCTCCTCGGTATTTGCTCGTATTTCCTCTCCTACCCCTGCTTCCTTGGCTGGATGATGGCCTATGATTGTCCACATGGATGTCAGAGCTCCACTCTGGCTCCGCCAGTTACACATATTCGCAGAATCAGGAAGTTACACTGCTGTAAAGTTAGAGCGGATGCTGGTTTAAAGAAAGAGGGGGGAGGGGGGGCTTCCTATTCCCTCTTCATCCACTACAGATGAGTTACAGAAGGTACTGTAGCCCTGCAAGTTGTATTTCACCATTTATCAACGACTGCTGCAGAGATGCTTCTTTTATCGTGCCTTTTTTTTTTTTTTGGTAAATCTATTAGAGACCATAACGTCCTCTCAGGCCAAGGCCTACAGGCAGTGTACGCCTTACATTCAGCCAGCTCCTCATCAATCGCATGCTTGTCAACAGGAACATTTTCTCCCCATTTCCTCTGCTCCAAAACCCACTTGCATCATGCTCTGCCCTAAATCTGTCCACTCCTATTTCTTCTTGACACTCTGCTTAAGGTGGTATGTTTTTGGTTGTTTTAATAACATCTTTATCCATCGCCAACATCTATGGTTAAGCTTTGCCACAGGAGCAACCAGCAGCACATGAATTTATAGGTAAGTGGCAGTGGCCACTTAACGGATGCCCTGCAGCTACATATTGAGCTGAGTCGAGTGCTCGCACACAGACATTGATTTAGACAGAGATTATGTCATCCGGCATTGGCACTTTTTTATGCTGGTCAAGTTTACCCAGCGGCATTGAATTCCTCTTCTGCTATCTGATGAATTAAGTGTAGGTTTAAAGGGCATGCTAATGCACCAATAAAGCCCTTGTTTCATTGGCGAGTTCATTTCAAATATCATTTTGGATACTTCATCAGTGTTAAAAAGCATTTTCACACTGACGGCACATTTTAATGCCTCACTTTCTTAATAAACCCAATTCCCACATGAACAGTTTTCAACCCAGTACAATGAGTTACTTATTTGTGGTGTTTTCAATAATATGATGTCTCAGAAAATGGTCCACTTTGTGTTTTTTTCCCCCACAATAATTTACATTTAACCTCTTTTCGTATTTCAAGAGGCAAACCCCAAAATTACTCTAAAACGTATGATGACAAGCATTTGTAAAAAGTGCTTGACCCCGTTGAGCTTGTAGTGCTCTCTGGTCTGGCAGACTGAGCGATCTGAAGACACCACACGTCCCCCCCCC